CACCCCCCAGTGAATTAAGTAACTATTAAATAATGAGATAATTGGGGTTTGAAATGCCAGGTCTGATGAGGAATCACTGCAGACTGCTACATAGTGGTTCAGTGGCATTTTTTTCAACTGTTTTATTGGTATTTGGAAAAACTGGTTGGAATTTTTTGATGGGCTAAGAATACATTAACAGTTTTCCTTTTAGAATTCCAAACACCTAGTCCAAATACTTGACAGTCTGTGGATTTCAGAAGGTAAAAAACTTTACAGAAACTGTACTGAGCACCTACAGCCAGATCTCATGCAGTTCACAGAACTGGATTTCCACAGTCCATTGAGTGACAGCATCCACGGGCCACACCTGCCCCTCACTTATTGCGCTTAACCACTCAGAGCTCTCCAGACTTCCTGCTGCTCCCCAGACTCCTGACTGCTCCCAGGATGCCCTGCTGCTCCCCTGCCTTTGCACTTGCTGCTTCTTGCTCTCCTTCCCTCCTGATTATAGGGTGCTGAGTCCCATGGGATCAGATCTGGTCTGTCCAAAACTGTTGTTCATCACTGGTCACAGTAAAACAGCAAGATGCCCTTCACACCCACAGGGGTGTCTGCTCTCAAAATGGGAAATAGAGGTGGGGCAAGATGGCAGCTGACTAAGCTCCTCTAACTTCTCACCCCAGTCACACCACTTTGCACAGCTATTCACCACGCTACCCTCACACAGCTAAGGAAGGCAAACAATGGGCCCAGTGCCCAGTTTTACTGCAGTGATGGGAAGACATGTATCATAAAGGACAAGAAGGAAAGAATTACTCTCTTCACCTCTCTACAACTCCAGGCAATATAGAGAGATGCCTTCCACTGGGGGAGGGAGAGGGATTAAATCCCCACCCTAGACATGAAACCCAGTGACAATCCTGCCATACTGAAACTGATTGGACAGAACCACCCTCCCCTCCCTTAACCTCAAGGAACAGAGGGAAGGGAAGAAGTCTGCCCTAGAGCTGTGTGCCCTGACCACCATTGTGAGACCAGCCCTGGGCAGAAACCGAAAGCCCCTCCACCTAGACAAGAGCTCAGAGTCTGAGGCCTGTACACTAGCACAGTGGGCTCTTGTTCCAGCCTGCATCATTGCCAGCCTTGGAGTGGCCCTGGACACCTCTCCCTACCCCAGCAGCACAGTTGCTTACAGCTGTGAGACTTAAGGCATCCCGGCCCAGCATTACTGTTGGTCCCTGTATTAATTACTTTTTCTCATTACTGTGACTAAAATGCAACAGGAAGCAACTTAAGGATGGAAGAGTTTATTTTTGGCTTACAGTTTGAAGAGATACAGTTCATCATGGTGGGAAGGCATGGTGGCAGGAGCATGAAGTAGCTGCTCACACGGGTATCTGTAGTCAGAAAGCAGACTAGACAGGAAGTGGGCCTGGCTACAAAATTCAAGCCCTGTCTCCAGTGACCTACTTCCCCTAATGACATATTTTACAACCTACTTCCCCTAGTGATGTGTTTCACATCTTAAAGATGCCACGCCTTCCAAAACAGTGTCACTAGCTGCAAATCAAATGTTCAAACACATGAACCCATGGGGACATTTGACATTATACCACAGCAGTGGTTAAGGGCATGTCTCTGCTACTGTCCCTGAGTCAGGCATCACAATCTATTCCTGGTACAGGTGGAACTGTAGAACTGGGCTACCACCAGCAGAGTAAGCCACCTGATGGAGCAGCCTGCATGGCCACTGTGACTTGGGCATGAGTGTACCACAGCTGTGCAGATCCTTGTGGCTATGAAATTCGTGTACAGTCCAGCTTAGTGTCAGCCTTGGTGGTCAAGGGGCTGCCTTCACCCACACTACCTTAGCTCTGGGCAGCACAGCACAGAGGCAATGAGAGCAGCTCTGGCTGTGGGCGAGGATGTGAAGAACTATTGGAACAGTTGTTCCTGGGTGAAATGTAAAGTTGTTCAGCCAATATAGATATGATCATTTCTCAAAAATGCCACACAAAATTACTGTATAGCCCAGTAATCTTGAGATACATCCACTCATGTTTATAGTGGCATTATTGACAGTAGTTGAAGTCTGTCCATTAATGGGTAAACAGAAGGTGGTGCATGCATCTGAAGAATTATGATTCAGCCTCAGAAAGGATGCAGTCCTAACGTGTGCCACCACATGAGCAAACCTTAGCTAGTGATCCCTGTGCTAATACACTGACCCCACAGCACAGTGTGCTAGTGATGTCGCCCACAAATTCTACTGCAGTCTTCACTGGCCGCTGTGACGTTTGCCTTCATTGGGTCAGAATGCTCTGCCAGCACCATGCCTGTAACCTGCATGGCCATGCCTCATAGGGTGGGCCATGTGAATTACTGCCAACAAATGTGTCCTCCTGTAAGGCTGTCACTTAGTGTTTTTCAGAGTTCAAATTCCTGGAGAATGATACTGTAAATCTGTGGTAAAGAGTTGTAAGCTGTGTGGACTTGCTGGATGTTGATCGTAGTTGAGTAAATAATGTGACACAGACAAGGGGGGTCACATTTCATTTTGACCAGTCTACATGAACTTTTCACAACCATGAAAAATAATGATTAAAAAAATACTGTTGTAAAAGATTTATTTTTACTTATGTATGTGTGTGTGGAGGGGGGGTACACCTGAGTGCAGGTACCTCTGGAGGTCAGAAGAAGGCATTGGATCCCCTGCAGCTGGAGTTACAGGCAGTTGTGAAGTGCCTGATATAAAAGCCGGGAACTGAATCTGGGTCCTCTGTGAGAGAGGCAAGTGCTATTAACCACTGAGCCATCTCTGCAGCCCCAAAGAGATGATTTTTACTACTGTGCTTATGGAGAATACTGTATCCATTAAGTTATTCAGTCCTAGAAGTTTCTTCAGCCCCAATAATAAACATTTATATAGTTATATTATGTCTGTGTTCCAGTGAGCTGATGTTGGAAACATCATGAATGGTCATTTCCATGTACTGGTCCCTTAAGTTCTCAGACTGGTCCTCACTGCACTGCACAGTACAGCATTTTGTTCACACTTGAATATGAGTTCTGAGAGGCCTCATGCTTTTCTGTTATATCTGTACAACAGTTACAAGCTCACTGTCTCTTAGGAATAGCTGCATTTTATAGTGGCATCACTGTCTTTACTTGTGTTTGAAAATAATCTCTATAAAAAATTGGTCTGTTTCCAGTTCGTTGAAGGTGTTTTTTGTTTTTTGTTCACATTTCCCAAATACTAGTCATAGCCCTTAATGTGGCTTGTTCAAGAGCCTTATCTTGGCTGGCAAGGTGGCACAGTGGGTAGGGGCTCCTGCAGCTTTTATCCTACTTTTCATAGGAATGCGAATGAAGACTGGGTTCATTTTCCTTTTCTTTTTAAAAAATATTTTGGTCTTTTTGTGACAGGGTCTCCCTATAGCCCCAGCTGGCCTGGAACTTGCTAGCTGTGTAGACCAGGCTGGCCTTGAACTTACAGAGATCCGCCTGCCTCTGCCTCCGGAGTGCTGGGATTAAAAGGAAGTGCCACCACACCCAGCTCATTTTTCTTTTAAAGTAAAGCAAAGTGCTGCGTAAGGAGTGGTGGAGACTGGGGCCCTTGAGCGTGCCAGTGCCATACCTCTATCCTGTAGCTGCAGCTGGCTGAAGTTGTCCTGAGGATAAAATCACCCACCCAGCCACTCAGCCAGCCAATGTGTTTTGCTTCTTTGTTAAGACAGGATCTTGCTGGGTAGCTCTGGCTGGCTTTGAACATGTCAGTCCTTTTGCCTCAGCCTTCTGAATGACTACAAGTGTGTGCTACCACGTCAGGCTCCATCTTGTGTTTTAAATGTTGGTAGCTACTGTACAGGAGAATATTTAAGCTTTTATGGGTCCTTGAAACCAGTGAGCCTGTATAGACTGTGACATCCATTTCCTGCTTGTCCTGAAAATAGGCCCAGGCACTCTGGGGCCTCACAGCCATCCTAAGGTTATGGCTGTTTCGTGCTCTTCCTGGTAGAGGTGGAAGCCAGACTTTGATTACCTGCTTTCACCCTCTTTCTGCCCGATGAGGTCCTAACCTTTCCCTTGAAGATACTGTTATGAATAGGCATTGAATAGTTAATCTTGGCCAATTTTACCCTAAATTGGGCTGTTGTACCATTGTATTTCCCTGGAGTTGAAGAGTTAATCGGCTCTTGAAGTCCTTAAGGTGACGGTTGACAAAGATCAAACCCAGTATGTGGTCCTGACTGTCCGGAGTGGAGTTCCTCGGCGTTACAGAGGACACATCGGAATGAGCCAGCATCTTAAACAGAGGAGAGGCAGGCGGGGCAGTGAACGGTGAAGGACAGAGCCAGTTTTCATCAAAGTTGCTTTTATGTCTAAGAACTTCCGATGAGTTTACAGTTTATGCACCATAAAGGCTTCTCAGAGTCTGTGGGGTTAACTTCAGAATTTAGCAAATTTTCTCCAAACTTGGGTAGAAAAGCCCAGCTTGATGCAGCTCTGTATTTTGGTGAGTGGACCCTGGCAGTCCAGCTTGTCCACCATGCCTGCTGATTGTTGCTGGCATGGTGCTGGCTTTTGCCAGTGACTGCGAGGAGGGCCTGTTCTCACCAGACCTGCCTTGGCCTGAGGAATACACCAGCTGTGTCCGGGTGCCCAAACCACTCAAAGACGTGAAGTTCTTAAGTGCTTTCAGTGTTATTAATTGTATAAACTTAAGTCATTTGAGCCTTTCTTGAAACACTTTTCCAGTGACTAATACGGAGACACAAATACCTTCTGGCCCTGATTTTTTTTTTTTTGTCTTTTTGAGACAGGGTCTCCCTGTAGCCCTAGCTGGCCTGGATTCACTATGGAGACCAGGCTGGCCTTGAACTCACAGAGATCTGCCTGCCTCTGCCTCCCGAGTGCTGGGATTAAAGGCGTGTGCTACTACGCCCGGCCCTGAATTATTTTTATAGAGGAATCATTTCAAATCATCACCCACCTTTCCTCTCTCCTTCACCTCCCAGGGGGGACACAGAGATTGCCCCGTGCCATCGGGATGTCCCTAGCCAAGGAGCTCATCTTCTCTGCACGAGTTCTTGATGGTCAAGAAGCCAAAGCTGTAGGCTTGATCAGCCATGTGCTAGAACAGAACCAGGAGGGGGATGCGGCCTACAGGAAGGCGCTGGACCTGGCCAGAGAGTTTCTTCCTCAGGTACGGGAGAGAGCTTCTTTGGTTTCCATCTGAGATCACTCCATAGCACACTGACTTCATGTAGCAGGATCGCACAGTGCCAACATGACCCTGTCCTGCTTTCCAAGCAAAGGAGTTAAAAGTCAGATTTGAAGGGAATCTGAGACCCACACTGGAGATGTGTGTGCGCACGTACACGCATACACAGTGTAACATCCTAGCAAATTGCCTTAACATGTTCACCAAGTGCTCTAACCTGCCATCTCCCATGGAGAGAGAACAATGGTCAGAGCACACAGAAGCACACTGCTTCCTGAGTCAGGAGACTGCAGGTGCACTCTCCTGTCAAGGCCAGCGGTTGGTGTTGGTGGTCTTCCTCCATTGCGCTCAACCTTACACAATTAAGCTGGGTTTCTCACTTGATTGAACCGCAAGCTCACCAATTAGCCAGTCTGGCTCGGTTTGCTTTCTGCCTGTTTCTGCCTCCTGAGCTCTGGGATTACAAGTAGGCCACCATACCAACGTGGCATTTCCATGTGCTGGGGATCCGAAGTCTGACAAGCACTTGACTCATGGAGTCCTCTCCCCAGCTCCTCTACATTGCATCTCAATCCAAAAGATCATCCAATTAAAAATATTAGATTCACATTTATCCCCTCGGCCAGATGTAAAAGGACACCTAAGAACTAAATCTGTCTGGGAGTACAGCCTTCTCTAGGGTAGTGCTGAGACTGAGCTCCCACAGGGCACAAGCCTCATTATTCTCAGAGAGGGGTCTGCTTCTCCATGACCCAGACTCACCTTCTGAAGGAACCTAGGTGTGTCAGTCTGCCATGGTGCAACCATTGTCTTTGCTGAGGACACAGCTGTCCTTTTCAGTCTGTTGCCCATGCCGAGGGAGGAGTTTGCGAATGCATGTCAAGTGGGTGGCACCAAGCCCCACTGACAGTGTTAGCTCCTCTCTAGCCCAAGTTTCAGTCATGGCTGCTTATCAGTGTGCTGCTGAGCCACAGACAGCTTTCCTTTCCCCTGCTTAACTTGAGGGAGAGGAACTGAGGACTGTCGGATCTTTAAGTTGGGTGGCCATGCACCACCTGCTCCCTTCAAGGATCTAGTTTGCTGAATGACATACTGTGGAGTCAACAGGATTTGAAGCTCAGAAAATAAATTTCCACGTTTCCACCTAGTATCTTAGTCGTTGACTATGCTGTAACAGATCCAGCATGGAGTTTGTGAATTGTACTGAGGTATTCCACATAATTTGCATAAGTGCTAATTAAAATGTTTCTTTCATTTGAATTTTAGGGACCTGTTGCAATGCGAGTGGCAAAATTAGCAATTAATCAAGGGATGGAGGTAAGTCCTTAAGATCGTTGCTGAAATGGAGAGTCAGACTGCATTTAGATGAGCCTTGTCTCAACTCCAAAATAGAGCCGTTTCCATGGGGTCCTTTCAGCATCATGACCACAGACTTCTGAATCTCCTTGCAGCCTGTGGCATCTTGTTTTCTTTGCCATTGAGTTAGTGGAGTCTAGCGAGGCCTTCACTAGCTCAGTTAGTAGAGCAGAGGACTATAGTGGATGGAGTTAGTGGGGTCATCAGCTGGTCAGTAGGAGGAAGTAGACAAAGGTACTCTGATTCCTCGGCCAGGAGGTCACACATCTAAGCATCTTGGGGCAAGCCGTCCAACCCCATTCTGGGTGTGGCTGTCTATCGCACTTCTCAGCATGTGTACAGAGAGAAGCACAAAGTCATACCTATCTTTAGAGTGTTTGTGTGCCACCTTGGGAGCATGACTTCGAAGGTGACGGACCCTGGGCTGGAGGGTGGATGGTAGACAATGCAGGTTCTCACAAACTTTGGAGTGTGTGTGTGTGTGTGTGTGTGTGTGTGTGTGTGTGTGTGTGTGTATGTGTGTGTGTGTGTATGTGTGGTATATACAGTTGTATGTGCAGATGTGTACATTTGTGTGTACACAGGCCAGAAGAGGGTGTCAGGTGTTCTCTGTCATGATCTACTGTATACCCTTAAGGCAAGGTCTTTCTGGAACCTGGAGCTTGTGTGTATGTGTGTGTGTGTGCTTGTGTGTGTGTGTTTAGTTTTGTTTTTGACTAAGCTGGCAGGCAGCAAGCCCCAGTGATCCTCATGCCTCTACCCTTCTCAGTGATAGAACTACAGGCATGTAACTACGCCTGGCTTGTTACTTGAGTGTTGGGATCCAAACTGAGGCCCTCATGCTTGCACAGCATGTGCTTTTACTAGCTGAGCCGTTTCTCCAGCTCAGCTTTGGGTGGAGGTTGGGGGTTGAGGGCTGGGGTGTTGGGTTTTTGTTGTTGTCTTTTTTTAAGGAGACAAGGTCTCACTATGCAGACCATTTGAAGCTGGCCTCTACCTCAGGCTGCCTCTGCCTTCTGAGTGGGATTAAAGGGATGCCCTACCTACCATACCCTCAACTTTGAATTTGTGTGTGTGTGTTGTGGGGGGCAGGGGTTGGGTTTTTTTGTGGCTTTTTTTTGTTTGTTTGGTTTTTTTTTTGGTCTTTTTGAGACAGAGTCTCCCTGTAGCCCCAGCTGGCCTTGAACTCACAGAGATCTACTCGTGCGGGCCTCTGCCTCCCAAGTGCTGGGACTAAAGGCCTATGCCACCATGCCCTGCGGTTTTTGGTTGTTTGAAACAGGGTCTCCTTGTATCCCCAGCTGGCTTGGAACTCGCTATATAGACCAGGCTAGCCTTGATCTCACAGAGATCCTCCTGCCTCTGCCTCCAAAGTGCTGAGGGTAAAGGTATGCACCACCATGCCCTGAACTCAACTTTGAATTTTTAATGACAGCTTTTGTATCTTGGTTTAATTGTGGGAGTTTGAAAAGTCATTTTTCTCTTGGCAGACACAGGGTTCTCTACAGCATTCTTGGCTATGTGCCAGTGCAGAGTGTGTTTGGTTGTAGTAGATTCAGCTTTATAAAATTACAAGTATTTGCTTTATTTTGATGCTTTAATAATATTAACAGTGTTTGTGGAAGGCACCTTGGGCAGCCCTTACATGCCAGGCTTTACCTCTTTCTACTAGCATTTTATAAGTCTTCGTTTCCTCCTCACAATGCCCTCCCAGGCCCTTTGATGAGTACTACAGCTAGCCCCTTGCTCAGACATGCCTCACATGTTACATAACTACTAAGTTACCGAGCTCCCAAGGTGGGGAGTCCGGATGTGAATTCAGAAGCTGGTTACAAACCTCAAATTGACCATATTTCTGTCATTTGGGGATGGGGCTATTAAATTTCAGTTTATATTGACTCTGCCATATTCTGCTAAAATAAACTATTTTTATCCACAGGTCGACTTAGTAACAGGGTTAGCCATAGAAGAAGCCTGTTATGCTCAGGTATGTAACACAGTTGCAGATCCAGCGAGCATGTACCCTTCCAGGTTATGTTTAGTCTGTGCTAATTCAAATGTATCATATTTCAATGACGAGTTTATCGTCACCCCCATGGTACCTATGGGTTTTAAGTAGTAGTTTCTGTGACTTTGCATGAGTGCCTACCATGTGGCCATAGTGGTGCTTGAGGCTCACTGGCTTTGTCTGAGGTTCTGAGCCTTCTTTCCTCACTGAAAAAGAAAACTGTATGATTCTATCAGTGGATGGGGAAAAAGCCTTTGTCAGATCGATCACACACTCATGATAAAACTCCTGGCAAACTACGAGTAGAGTAGAACTTGTATAGTTTGACAGGAAAGTTCATGTGAAGAATGTGCAGACATTGTACTTAAGTTGGAAGCAGTGTGATGTCCTCTCAACACCATGCTGAGAGTCCTAGCTAATGCTAAGAAGAAGAAATATACAGTGTACATATTGAAAGGGAAAGGTGAAATTGCTCACTGCTGACGTGACTGTCTAAGGAAATTCCAAAGAATCAACAGCTGACTTACAGCAAGATTACACATCAGCTGCTTCCCTATATACCAGCAATAAGAAATAAACAGATAACAGTATCAGGGGCTAAAGAGATGGCTCAGAGGTTAAGAGTGCTGGCTGCTCTTGCTGAGAACCTGGGTTTAATTCCCAGCACCTACATGGTGGCTTACAACTACCTGTAATTCCAGTTCCAGAATATATGACACCCTCTGCTGGCCTATGTGGGCACAGCATGCATGTGGTACACTTACATACATGCAGATAAAACTCATACACATAAAAATAGTTCTTTAAAAAATGTATATCACTATTTACCTTAGCAATCAAAAATTAAAGTTATAAGTCTAACAAAATATGTATAAGATCTAGAAGAGAAAAATATGAAACACTGGTAGAAGTCACACTGTATAAGTAAATACCCATGAGGAAGAAGACTCAATATTACTAGAAAGTCAGTTCTTTCCAACTTCATCTATATGTTTAATTCAGTCACACACACACACACACACACACACACACACACACAATCTCAGCCAGTTACTCTATGAGTATTCACAGACTGACTTAGAACTTGCAAAGTCCAAAGACCCAGAAGTCAGCACAGTATTGCCAGAGAACGAAGCTGGAAAACTGCTATTACCTGACCTTGTGACTTACCATAAAGCTGCCATAATCAGACTTTGTGGCTTTGCTGAAAGAACAAATCAGTAGACAGAGGAACAGTGCTGGTACACCTGGACACCCACGTGCAGAGTCCCTAGGAACTGATGCTGGCACACTAGGGCATCCGTATGCACAGACAGTATGAGGTGAGCAACTGCAAAATGTGCAGATGGTGATGCAGGAAGAAATACCAGCCTTGGGTTTGGCTGCCTCATCCACAGGAGAAAAAACTAGTAGGCCCGATGTTATTAAAATAGCTTCCCAGTAGAAGACCCTGCTGAAAGGATCAGAGGACACAAGTTGGAAGAGAATCTTACCAGAACATATTATCCAAAGTACCTAGGGAACTTTTAAGAAAATGGAAAACCCCATTTAAAGATGGACAAAGAGATATGAGTAGCCACCTTGTCGAAGCAGATTAGGCTGATGGCAAACAGCCATGTGGAACGATGTTGGAAACAGCTGTGATTTGGGAACTGCAGATTAAGGAGCGAGATGTCAGTATGGTGTACTAGAGGATGCAATTCAGACCAATGGGACACAAAGGCATGTGGCTGTGGGGGTGCTAGTGGCTCAGCCGTTGTGAGATGGGTGGCAGTTTGAGGTTAGGCTGAGTGCATTCCAACCTTGTTGCCCAGTACCTGTGCCCCTTGGTGCTGGCCCAGATATGTGAAAACATGTCCACACAAAACCTGCCAGCAAACTTTATTCCTAATTACTAAAACTCAGAAGCAGTCAAGATGGCCTTCAGAGCCAGGCCTGGTAGAACATGCCTGTAATCCCAGCAAATTCAAGACTAGGCCGGGCTATCTTGGGAGTTTGAGGCGAGCCTCAACTATACAGTGAAACCCTGTCTCAAAAATAAAAGATGCCCTTCAGTAGGCAAATACTCTATTTACTTCAATAAATGAATAATCTGTTCATGACTATAATAGATCTGTACAGTGGAGTATTACACAGTGATAAAAAGGATCTGTCAAGTGAGAAAATGGTATAAGGAACCTCTCGTTCATGGTGTAGGTAAAAGGATTCAGTCTAAAAGTATTTCGTACTGAATGATTCCAATTCAGTTCTGTGACATTATGGAAAAGGCAGAACTGATAGTTTTGAGTGACAGGTCAGGAATGAAGGATGCTTAGGGCAAGTGGACCATCCTGTACAATACTGTGATGGTGAACATGGCATCATGCCTCATCAAAACCCACAGCACATGCAAACTCCAGAGCCCTGAGGAGACAGAGACTCTGAAGTAGCTTATATGCACTGCCTCAGCCACATGGCAGCTGTGCACACCAGTGCAGGCTATGCAAACAGGAGGGCTGGAGAGGGTTATGGGAACTCCACCTTCTGAACTTTTCCTTTGTTTGTTTAAATTTTCAAAGCATATTTGAAATGGAAAAAAAATTGATTAAAACTAATTTAGCTACATGCTTAGACTTGCTGAAATGACTAGTAAGACCCCCAGCAGGTTCCAGCAGGCTTTCTGAAGTAATACCTGGTAAACTTTTACTATTGGGTCTTTGATTTTTAGTGTGTATAATGTTCTGTTTTTCTAGACCATTTCAACGAAAGACAGACTTGAAGGTCTTCTTGCTTTTAAAGAGAAAAGACCCCCTCGCTATAAAGGAGAATAGGAGGAGCAGAACTCACGATGCCCCTGGGATGAGCATCATGCTGGCAGCGTCCTTAGATCCACTCCATGCCCGGCACGTGGAATCCCAATGACCAAAGTGGAGAGCAACGTCTTGCTACGTCTGGAGCAGGCCCAAGTGCTCCAGCCACTGTGTATCATGCCATATTTATTCAGATTTATAAAGCTAGTAGTGTATATTGTCAGAAATACATTCAAATTAGGTGTGTTTTTAATCTTTCCTGCATATGAGGCTTTCTGTTCTTAATTTTTTAATGTGAATAATTTATATATTGCAGTCTAGGGAATAACTGATTATGTCTACTGTGCTGCATTAAGAAATTAAAAGTATTTCTGTATACCAAAAATGTGAAGTTATACCAAATAAATTTCCTAAGTGATTATGTACATATGAATGCACATGTCCATCTCAACCTGGAAAAGTTGGTAAATATTCTGAGTGAAACTCCCTGATGTAAATAAAGTCAGTGCAAAGAAGACGAGAATTTGCCTCTTACCCATCTTTTTAGAGTAAATTGTGGCCTGTTGGGTCTCAGGAAGGTTTTCTGCGCTGATTCTGCCAGGCAAAATTCTTTCTGCTCACAGTAGCCCTGGACTCCATGTGAAGGGTATCCAAGACCAAAGCGCCCTGAAGCCCCAGGAAGCCAGGGCTAGATAGAGCAGTGTCCTGGGATTGGGCATCGGAAGTGATGTAGGGCCTGCTGCCGTGAAGACACTACCCCTTCCTTCAGGTCCACAATGGGCACAGCAGCCTTTTCTCTTGGCAAACTCTGGCCTTCTTGTGAGAAAGCATCCAGGAAAGGAGAGGCTTGGGGTGTGTCTGAGTCTGGGCAGGCCTAGGGAGGATGTGTGGGAGACACAGGAAATAGCTGTAGAATTAACCCAGAATGGAAGGACAGCTTTGTGATGGTGTCATTGTGCCTGCATCCTGCACACACCTGCCTCAGCATTAACATCCTCATTCCTAGGCTGCTCTGCTGTTTAGAAGCATGCAGATGTGATTTTCAAAATCCTAAAACTATCATTTTCTAATTTGTGAGGCAGCCTCTCTGTCTCAGTTCTAAAATTCTTAATAGAGACAACAGTGGACCAACAACCATCACCTGACCCACAGCCACTGTCTCTCCTGACGAGGGTGACAGCTGCCAACCTCACAGATGCCTGTGGACCAGGGCAAGGGCTGCTTCCTTACCACCCAGCCTCCACATCCACCTGATAGCTCAGCTGGTTGCATCTTATACAGAGGAGCTCATTAAAAACTCACTCAGCTCTCTGACGATCCCAGCTGATGGTGTGCATGCTTGCATGTTTATTGGTAAAGCACCTGAGCTGTCTCTCATGCATAACCTGAGAAAGAATGGCACTTCTTGTTTTCTTAGCCCATCAAAGATTACAGGGCCATATTGTCCTGTCCGTTACATACTAAAATGTCACTGGCATAAATGGAGAGATGGCTCAGTGGTTAAGAGCACTGGCTGCTCTTGCAGAAGACCCAAGTTTGCTTCCCAGCACTTACATGGCAGCTATCAGCAGTCTGAAACTCCAGTTCTAGGGTATCCAACACCCTTTTCTGGCATCTGTGGGCATTGCATGCACAGGTACACTTACATGCAGGAAAGACACTCATACACAAAAATAAAATATCACTTGTATTTTCACTGAGGTGAAATGATTGTGTTAATGGGAAAGGGGTTATGTGGATTCATGGGCCAGGCTCCAGTTGCTGGTTGAGCCTTATTTGATTTCTTCAGTCCTAAGGCATTAAAAGTCAGGTCCTGCAGTGATTTGAGATGGGGAAGCATGGGGAAGGTGCTTGGTTCTCTGTATAGTTGCCTTGCCCTGTTTTTTTGTCTTCTGAGAGCAGTCCTGCTGGTGAGCAGTCCTGACAGCCCTAAGTCCAGCCTTTCTGGAGGGCTGCCTGTACCTGCAGCCTTTGCCCTTCAGTGTGTGTGCATGCATCCTTGGAACTACATCTGTTCTTTTTGTTGTATTTTTCTGTTTTAAGACAGTTTCACATAGCTCAGGCTGGTCTTGAACTCACTACATAGCCAAGAATGATACTGAACTTCTGCCTCCTACCTCTGCCTTCCAAGCACTTCACCATACTGGTGCTATGCATTTGCTGGGATGGAACCCAAGGCTTCATGTATGCTAGGCAAACTGTCCACCTACTGAACTACAACCCCAGCCTCTGAATCAGCTAGAACTGTTGGCTTTATCTGTATGTTCAAATTAGGTTAAAGAAGGTACCAAAAGGGAGATTGAGTCATCAGACACAGTTGTAATTCAAGTGATGAAAGAAAGCAAAGATGAAAAGCATTTCACTTTACCTCAGTATGACATCTGTGGTTCAAAAGTAATAACTTGCCTGCAAAAGACAGAGTCCAGTGACTGGAGTTCTAAGGCAGGACAAGAGTGCTGAATCCAAGATGAGAATCGGATGTTCACTGGGTGTCGTGGTGCATGCTTGTATGCCTAGTACACAGGAAGCCAAGGCAGGAGAATCTCAAGTTGTGATCTACCATGAGGCTCTTGTCTCAAACAAAGGAGTGGGAGACTGAGTGGTGAAGAGCACTTGCTGCTTTTCCAAGGACACATGTTATGTCCGCAGCACCCATGTTGGACAGCTAGCGACCACCTGTAACTCCAGCTCCCCTTTTCTGGCTTCTGCAGGCACAAGCATACACGCACGCATGCACACAGTTAAAAAATCTTTGAAAAAGTTATTTTGTTATTTCTGTGTATGTGCGCATGAGGACTGGTGGCTAGAGGGCAAAAGAGGGCGTTGGATTCCCAGAGGTGGTTACAGGTGGTTGTGAGCTGCCTGGTATGAGCGCTCGAGACCAAACTTGGGTTCTCTGAAAGAGCGGCAAGTGTTCTTCACCTCCGAGCCATCTCATCACCCCAACATAAGCCTTTTTCCTTTAAAAAAAAAAAAAAAGAGCAGGAAGAAGTCTGATTTCCTGGGGGGGGGGGGTTGGGTGACTTAAAAGATTATTTCAAGGGCTGGAGAGTTGGCTCAGTGGTTAAGAGCACAGACTGCTCCTGCAGATGGCCTGGGTTCGAGTCTCAGCACCCACACGGCAGCTAACAACCGTCCTAACTCCAGTTCCAGGGGATCTGATACCCTTTTCTGACCTCCACGTGCATTGCACAACATGGGTGCACCTATACATACGCAGGCAATACACTCATACACATAAAATAAAAATAATATCATGTTAAAAATTATTTTTAAAAAGATCATTTCAGAGTCTTGTTTTCTATAATGATGGATCTGGTTTTCCCATAAATCAAGACTTACCCCCTGAAGGGTGTGGTGATGCGGACACAGGTGGATCTCTGGGAGTTTGAGGCCAGCCAGGGCTATATAGTGAAATCCTGTCTCAAAAAAAAACCTAAAATAGGACCTGGAGAGATGACTAAGTGGTTAAGAGCACTGGGTGCTCTTGCAGAGGACCTGGGTCTGCGTCCCAGCACCTACATGGCAACTGACAACCAGGAGATTCAACGTCCTCTTCTGACCTTTGCTGGCATTGCATGACACAGGTGCAGGCAATACACTCACACACATTAAAATTAAACATAAAATGACACCCCGTTTAGCCATCAAATACGCCTTATAAGGCAGGATCATTTTCCCTGCAGCACTTAGGACAGTGCTTTAGAGCGGTGTGTTAGCTCTTGAGTGCAATACCTGTAGGAAACTATTTTCCTGTGGGCTTGTCACTGGCTGACTACTGGCCCTTTTCCTCACTTGACCTTAACTTCCATTTTGGTAACATGCCCTACATTGGCCCTCTCTTAAGGTCCAAAGATCTTGGCAGGTTGACATTTCTAAATAATCAGTCCAGTATTTGTCTACTGACCTAGTTAAATGTTAATCGACAAGTATGTTTGTGTTTATTGGGCTTTATCAAAATACCAATAAAGATTATTTTCTCATAGTTCGTGGTAAATTTGTCACAAAAGAAAAAACATTTGAAAGTTACTCGTTTCTAATACTCTGAAAAATTCAGAGCTACTTTATGTTAATGAAACAGGACACAGATTGTGATTTGGGGTATTTTAGAAGGTGGGGAGGAGGGCAATTTAAACCCTTTGCTCAAAATGCACCTTTGCATTTTCACAGTCCTGCCCTTGAGAAAAGTCCAAAACTTGGCTCTCTATGGAGGACACTCCCTGAATATCAGACAGATGATGGGTGATGGTTATTTTCCAAAATTGTCAGGCCAACAAGAGAGAACTGTGGACTTGATGGTGAAATTGGAGGGATCCAGAGGCAAACAGTGTACATACAGAGCATGGCGGGGGGGGGGGGGGGGGTTCCGTTCCCGGAAGGCTTTCACACTTGCAGGAGGCTGGCTGGTGGGAAGGTGGCCCTTCCTAGGTAAATGGCAGTTCTCTGAGGAAAACAGCTCACAGGAACCAGCATGGGTGGCCGTTCATTGTCAACTAACAGAAACAGCACTGAGCTGGCAGTGTGACTGAGTGGTGAGTACATGCCTGGCATGCAAACAGTCCTAGCGTCAACCCCTAGTGCCACAGAATGAAGCAGTGTTACATGGGGTATTTTAAGGGGACATTTTGACAATGAGGGTTGGGTGGTCATCATGGTGATGACAACCCTTTGTACCTACCCAGTGCTTTTGGGGTACTGTTACTCTCTGGGACATCTCCCAAAATGACCCTCACTGTAGGCCTCCTGTGGTGCCCAGAGGAGAACAGTACATAAAGCCCCACGTGGCTGAGTCAGGATTAGAACTTGGAGCTGATGCTTCGGCACTTGCAAACAGCCAGACAGCATACCCACATAACTGAAGGCTGCCATCCTTTGCCCTGATTGTTCAGCCATCTCGTGACTTGGAGAGATAAATGTGCTTATCAAATGATGACATGGCAAGTGGAAGAATTGACGCCCCCCTCTGGCCACTCCCCTGCATCAGGCCTGCATGTACTCTCACCCTAGTGTTCAAAAGGACCTTGGGAAGCTATTGTCAATTTCTGTTTTAAGAAACAGAGTCAGGAAGTAGGAGCTGTGCTGGGTACTGTGTTCACCCTGGTGTTTCATGACAACAGTGAGTACCTGGAGAGTTGTAGTGGACACAAAAGGTACATGGGCTCTTCTGGGAAGCCCAGGGTGACTGAGTGCTGGCCTCGCATCCCACTGTGCCCCGCAGAGTCACCCCTAGAGCATGTGTGGAGCCACTGCTCATGAAGAAGCCCCCTCTGGGTCAGGACCACCTGGGCACATTTCATCAAGGGTAATATGTCTCACTCCTCCATCCTGGTGACCCTCACCTGGAGTTTGGGTCCAGTTCCTAATGTCATAGTTTTGGGTATTCATAAAGTCCTGCTGGTTTTTCTGAAAGGCACTCGGGAGCTCTTGGGCAAGGTTTGGCTTCCTAGATACCAGCAGTGAAGCCATGGGCCACCTTCTGTCTTTGTCAGGGAACTGAGTAGTTGCTGATCTTTGCAGGGTCCCAGTCAGATTGGATCTGGTCTACATAAAAATGCTTCATAATTAGAAGGCCGCATTCAGCTGAGCTGATGGTTCTGTTTGTACTTCATGTTTCAGAGGAGACGAGCTGGCCAGAGAGATGGGCATTATAACCATAGCCAGTTTGGGGATATACCTAAGAACTTAGGTGGGTCACCCTGGGAAAGAAAAGTGAAGAGAAGTTTGGTGACCGCTGCCAGGGAGCTGCAGTGTGAACCCAGGGTTTTCAGAGGCTCTTATGGGTCAGGAGGAAGCTATAGAACCGCCCCCTCCCTGCATCACAGCTGCCCAGTCCCTAGAGATGAGGATGAAGGCAGCAGAGCCAGCAGCTTGCCCATCCAAGCTGCCCTGCGTCTCCAGTGTAAAGCAGAAAAAGGAGCGTCCCAGGCAGGGCTGCTGGGCACCAAGTTGTAGAGGGTGGAAATGAAGGCTGGTTCTTGTGTGGAGGGCAACAGCTTGCCCCCTCAGCATGGAGGCAGATGAAGTGTGAAGCATGGCCTTTGTGTAGATACTGGTCAGCAGTGGTCAGCCCTCAGAAGTGAGGAAAAGAGGTGGAGCCCAGGATGCTTCTGATTGGCCTCTGTGGCCCTTGGGGTAATCTGCATTGCAAGGCATTTTAGTTTTAAAAAAGGCATCATTTGGGACTGGGGAGATAGCCTAGTAGGTAAAGAGGGCCTGAGTTCAGACCTCAGAATTCACGTAAAAAAGCTGGATGTGGGGAGGCAGAGACGGGGATCTCTGGGGCTTACCGACCAACCGGCCTAGCCTATTTGGATGAGCTCCAGGCCAATGAGAAAACCTGTCTCATAAAACAAGATGGATGGTGCTTGAGGAATAATAGTCAAGGTTGTTCCTTGGTTTCTACACACACACACACACACACACACACACACACACACACACACACACACAAGTCCTCATCTGCTTGAATGGGATATTTACAGCACCAGTTTTGGGGGCCAGGTATATGGATTGACCTGGAGAAAAACACCACATCTTTTCATCACCCACTGGGGTTCACATGGACTCCCTTCTGCTCTCTGTGTCTGAGAGGAGACAGTGGAGGGCCACCTGGGCAGGAGCCATGTTGGACTGAGGCACGCAGGTATCCTGCCTAGGGCTCCAACCACCTTCCAATCTTGTCAAGGTGCCTTAAGTGGCCTGGGCCCTGAAGCCTTTAGAAAACCTGCCAGTCGAGGCTGTCTGCACACAGCCTGCGGAGCTGTTTCAGAGCAAGCCCCTGCACCTCCCCAGAGAAACAGCAGCTGCTTGTCATCAAGCTGTGACTGGTGGTGATGTTCCTGAGAAGGTTCTAGAGACATTTGAAAGTTGGCAGCTGCACCCTATTGACCTTTTCAAAAATAATCTGAGTCACTTTCACTTTCAGCCTCTGACCATATTGAATGAATCTTTTGTGCAGTTCACAGAAAGTGAAGTGTTTGGGCAAGTGAGATAAGTCCAACGCCAAATAGCCTCTCTCAGGTTGAGTAATATTTCTTTTTGAGTTGTCTATTAACACTTTCCTAAAACATGCTTTTTATGAAGCCTAGAACATGCTTAAGAGGGGCTGTCATCTGAATGATTTAAAAATGTAACTTTGCAATTTGTGTGCCATATTAAAGAGACAGGCAGTGACAGTGACATTTAATTTGACAGGAGGAAATGCTGATCATGGATAGATGAGATGGGTATGTTCTTGTTTGGAGGACAAGGTCTCATGTAGCCTCTGCTGGTCTGGAACTTACTACATAGCTAAGGATGACCTTGAACTTCTGATCCTCCTGCCTCCACCTCCCCTGTACTGGATTACAAGCATGAACCACCAGGCCTGATTTATGCAGTGCTGGGGATCAAACCCAGGGTTTTGTGTTAGGCAGGCACTCCACCAAATAAGGCACATCCCAGCCCCAGTGCATTTATTTTAGTACCTCACAGTGCCTCTGCTGGCTTGGCACACTGAGTTACTTGCTTTTTGTCTGGTCTTCTTGGGAATGTCTGTTGTAATTTGGAATTTTTAATCTGCTCTGGTGTAATGACAGACACAGAGTGTTTATCCTGGCCCATCAAATGGCTCTGGTGCTCCAGAGAGCAACTGTAACATGTGATGTGACATTCATATACCCTCTGTGCTCACGTCACTCACTGTAACTTGCGGTTTATATATGCCCATGTAAGCTTCCTGTGTACCTACGAAAGTGTCTGTTGAATTTCCTGAAAAAGTTGAACAGATTTAATTTTAAGTTGTGCTTGAATTTCTCCAGGTATAAACCCATTTTCAACAGTAGGGGTGAGGGACCAAGAAAAAGGCTGGTCTTGGCTCTGCTCCAGGTCTACATCTCCAGCTCTGTGATCATCTACAGACACAGGGTGGAAGGCCACACCTGTGCAGCACAGCCCAGCTCATCTGCTCAACAGACCTAGAATGAGGTACTCAGAGCCCAGGTTCTTGGACCAGAGTCCTCCACTTACTCCAGGGATTCCCTGCCTGGACCTCCTGGGCCCTGGGATTACAGGCGGGCCACCATACCTGCCTACTGTGTATGTGTGTGCTGAGGATCCAAATTCTGATTCTTACACTTGCATAGCAAGCCTTTTATTCACTGAGCCGTCTCCCCATGCCCTCTACTTTTCTCAAAGCTTTTATCCTGAAGGAATGTTGAACTTTATCAAAAGCCTTTTCTGTATCTAGTGAGATGATGCTGTGATTTCTGTCCATGAATCGTTTTAAGAGTTGTTTCATGGGGCTAGAGAGATGGCTCAGCAGTTAAGAGCACTGGCTGCTTTTGCAAAGGACCCAGGTTCATTCCCAGCAGCCACATGGTAGCCAACAACCATTCTAAACTCCAATTCCAGGGGATCCGACACCCTCTTCTGGCCTCTGTGGGCATTGCACTCATGGGTGCCCTTACATAAGGTCTAGAGTTTGAACAACACACCCTTGATCAGTGAGTTACTAAAGAAACTAGCAAATAACTTAAAAAGTATCTAGAAACAAATGAAATGAGAGCAGAACTTACTGGAATGCTGGGTTGCTGCAAAGGCAATGTTAAGAGGGCAGGTCATAGGTACGAGAGACATCTCAAAGAAATAACCGAGGGGTACACTGCAAAGTCTTAGAAACACAGACAAAAGCAAATCCCTGCTGTCAGATATAAAAATGGTTGTTTCTGCCCTTTTCCTGCTTCTGTTTGTTTGGTATATATTATTCCATCCTTTGACTTTCAGGCTCTGTGAGTCTTTGCCAGTGAGGTGTATCTCTTAGAGTAAAGCAAAAGAAAGAAATAAAGGAATACAAATAGGAAACAAAGAAATCCAGTTATCCTCACTACAGATGGTGAGGATACAGCAGAAAACATAGACCTGATAAGCACGTTCAGCAAAGTAGCAGGATACAAAACCAATATACAAAAATCAGTAGCTTTTCTCTATATCAATAATTGAACATGTCTAAGAAGAAGTTGGGAAAATAATCCCTTTCAGGATAGCCTTAAAAAGTACCTGTTAATAAACCTGACTAAAGAGGTGAAAGACCTCTACAATGAAAATGCTTAAGAAATTGAAGAAGACACTAAAAGATGGAAGATCTCCCATGCTCATAGACCAGCAGAATTAATATAGAAAAAGTGGTCATGTTACTTAAAGTGAGCTACAGATTTAATACAAGCCTCATCAAAATTACAACAGCATTCTTCACAGAACTAGAGAAAACAATCCTGAAAGTCATTTGGAAGCACTAAAGAGTCTATATAGCCAAATCAATACTAAGCAAAAAAGAACTAAGCAGAGGGTATTACGAACCTTGCCTCAAGTTACACTACAGAGCCATAGTGACAAAAGCAGATAGACAAAAGCAGAGGACCTAGAAACAAACCCATACAGTAATAGCCACCTGATTTTAGATAAAGGTATCAAAAACATAAATGGTTTTTAGCACTCATAAATGTTTTTAACCAAACATAAATGGTTTTTAACAAGTTGTGCTGGGGAAACTGTA